GAGCAGGGAGCCCGATGCGGGGCTCGATCCCAGGACCCCGGGATCATGACCTGAGCCGAAGGCAGACGCTTAGCGTCTGAGCCACCCAGGCGTCCCCCAAAAATTAAGTTTTAAAAACAACAGGTATAATGGCTTTTAAAAAAAGACTCTTGCTAAATTAAAACCCGTGAGACTGATTGCTTTGATTCTGAACCTGTCCTTCAACAAGTATTTTTAATTGCCCTCTTTTTTTCCCCTTTGAAATCCTGAAAGAAGGTATTCTTGGACTTTTAGGAGCCAGTAGTAGGCGGGCCTTTTCTCCCCCACGTGAGTGCCACGGCCCACTGAGCCCCGCGGCGTTCCCGCTCGCCCCTCTGCGGCTCTGCGGTCACGGGTGGGCAACGCGGACGGAGGGATGCGCCCCCGCCCGCAGGACCGCGGACCGAGCCCGGGCCCTGTCCCGCCCGCTCCAACCCCGGCCTCTCCCGCAGGCCGAGATGCGGCTGCTCCTGTTCGTGCCCCTCCTGCTGGCCCCGGCGCCCGGGTCCTCGGTGAGTGCCGCCCTGCTCGCTGCTCGGCCCGCCCCGCACAGCGAGGCGGGGGAGAAGCCCCCGCTCCCGGGGGCGAGGGGAAGTTGGTGGGAGAGGCGAGCCCTGGGACCACCCCCAGCTCTTTCAGAAAAAGGGGTGCAGCCTTGAAGCGGTCTGACCACGGGGTGCAGAGCTGCCCTCCCCGCTGCAGGACGCAGTGCGCAGGACTGGCAACTTCCCACCGCCGTCCTCCTCCCGAAGGTGCTGGGTGCACCCTAATGCTGGGACCCCCCCCTCCCCGGGGTGGCCTTCCAAGGTGGAAGGAAGGGGCGGGGGTGGTGCTGGCACCAGCCAAAGTGCAGGGCTAGATGGCCCATCCCATCATCTGCTGGGACCCAGTTGAGCTGCCCCTCAGCTTGACTGTGCTTAGAGGTCCCCCTCAACAGTGGGGATTTAGCTCTAGATAGAGCAGGGATGGCCAACAGAACTTTCTGAGATGATAAAAAATGTTCTAAACTGTGCTGTCCAGTAGGATAGACACTTGGTTCTGTGGCCACTGAGTCCATGAAACGTGGCTATTGCCACTGAAGAATTACGTGTTTGATTTGATTTTAATTAACCTAAATAGCCACGTGTAGCTAACCGTTACCACATTATAGTGCAAATTTGGAGAGTGGACACAGGAGTCAACTGGTGATCAGAGTAGCTGTTTTGTTAACGGGGCCCAAAAGACGGGGCTCCCTGGAGAACAAACCTGGATCCTGAGGTTATACAAGAAGTCTTCTAGAAGGCAGGACCCACCTCTGCGGAGGGGAGGGTCCATAGAGGTGGGCTTTGTCCTGGATGCTGCTCCTGGCATTGACAGGATGGAGGGCACAGAAGCAGCCAGGTGCCACCCTGCCCCTGGAGAGCTCTTCACAGGGGGAGCCCCACAGCCCTGCCCACCCCTCTGTGAAGCGGGAGGTCCTTGGGGGAAGGCAAGGGAGATGCCACACTGTGGAGTGTGAGTCAGGGATGAGAGGGCTGCAGGGGCAGGCGGAGATGGACGTCAGTGGTGCTCGGTGGGCAGGCCTTCAAAGCCCCACTGACCCAGCACCAGCCACAGTCAGAGCGGCAGGTGGGCTAGAGCCCCCCTTTCTCATGTCCTCTCCATCACCTGCCAGCTCCCCAGTCACCCCTGCCAACCCGTGGTCCTTGAGGTCCCTGGCACAGGCTTTCCCTGGTGCCCGGCTGTGTGAAGGCCCCCGCTCAGGTGGAGGGGATTGTGGTGCCAGCGTCAGGACCCCAGCAGGAAACCCAGGGCTACCCCCTAACTGCTGCTTGACCATAAGCTTGACAGGCCTGAGATTCCCTTTCACTGGGGGGTTATAATCCCCACCCCCAGGTTACTGTGCAGGTGGAATGAGTCAAGGAGTACAAAACGCACTGGGTCCTCTTAGGTGCTTTCTGCCGTAGAAACAGCTGAGTAACCTTTCCCGGCGCCCTCCTCCCCGCAGCACGTGAGCTCAGGTGGGGCCGTGAACGCTCCTGCGCCCACGCCACGGCTCAGCTGCCCCCTCTTGCTGGCTCTGGCTGGGGGCCGAGCCCCCGCACGGTCCCTCTGAGCGCCGACAGCGGGGAGGGAGGAATGACGTGCGGCTGCAACCGCCCGCCGACCCCGGCCTCACCGCCCCAACCCTCTCCCGCACCCACCCCCGCACAGGGCGGCCCCGGGAGCAGCACGGCAGGAAAGAGGGCCCCAGGCTGCCTTGGAGGGTGCGGGGAGTCGGAGGAGGAGGGGCTGGGTGCGGAGGGCGGCGGGAGCAGGTGCGGACAGGCCAGCGGGAGGGCGGGCTGGCCGAGCTCCTTCCGGCGCCACACAGCCAGCTCGCGGTTCGCGGTTCGGGGAATCACGGAGGAACAAAACGTGCCTGTGCTGCCCGTGGCTGCAGCCAAATGTGCGTTCTTTCCTGGGAGAGACGGTGTGGAGGGCATCCGGCTCGTAGCCCCTGCCCCCCACAAGTGGATATCTGCGTGGCGGGTGCTGGGTACAGGAGGCCAGGGCGTGTTGGTGAGGCTCCCAGCTCCTCATGCTGAAAGCTGGCTGAGTCTGTTTGGGGCGCCTGGTGTTTTTGCTCTGGGAGAGAGAATCCCAGGCTCCCAAGGCGAGGGAGGGGAATGATTTTAGGAAGGGGCCCTCTGGTGAGCCCGAGGGGGCTCTGAGTGCGGACTCACACTTCTGAGCGTGTCTTTTCCTCCAGGCTCCCAAGGTGAGGCGGCAGAGCGACACCTGGGGCCCCTGGGGCACCTGGAGCCCCTGCAGCCGGACCTGCGGAGTGGGCATCAGCTTCCGGGAGCGCCCCTGCTTCTCCCAGAGGTAGGGGAGGCTGGGTGGGGCCAGCTTGTTAGAGGACAGGGGGCAGGCTGGTCAGGGGGCAGCTGGTCCTGGGCCTGGCAGAACCCACCGAACCATGGGTTTGTTGTGAGAGCAGCATGGATGGAGTATCAAATCATTTCCCACCAGTCTCTGATTCCAACAATCAGCCTTAATTCAGGAGAGCTAGAGCTGTGCCTGCTTCCCCCACCCCCAAGTCTCCAGTTGCCAATGCTGTCTGGCATGTGCCAGGTGGAGTACATTCTTGGGTGAACGAATGAACGATCTTCAATGCCTACCCTGTGCAGTTTCTCTCCCTTCGGCCTCTTTGTTAAGTATAGAGGTCTCCCACTTTAAGTGAGGTATTAAGCACCTACTGTGTGCCTTGCACTCTGATAGGTGCTAGAGAAGGGTGGGGCACAAAACAAGGGGGGTGGTGACCCTTTGCCTGTCAGTGGGTTGAACTCACTATTCTGGAGAACCTCGTGTGAGCACAAGAACCATGAGCTATTACTCCAGCCACCGCATACTCCTTAAATGGCGGAATGACCTTACCAGGTGGGTATACATTACATCTTATTTTATCTCCAGAGGCAGAGTTTGGGTCTTCTCTGGAAATTTGCTATAAGAGGCAAGGTAGCCCCGAGTTAAAGGAACTCCAGGATAGACTCCAGGATAGACTTCTGAGTCTAGCTTTTCCAAGTATAAACACAGGGCTCATTATCCCTACCTGAGGGGATCTGTGTGTGTGGGCACCCCTCCTCTGCCCAGAGTGGCCTGCAGGAGAGCCCTAGGAGGAGGAGGGGGTGTTGGTTCGCGGGGTTCGGGTCTTCCCAGTGCTCTCATCCTCAGGAGGGATGGGGGCTCCAGCTGCGTGGGCCCCGCCCGGAGCCACCGCTCTTGCCACACGGAGGTAAAGCCCGCAGGGTGGGGACGTCAGCTTCTGGGACCCCCTACCTTACTGACCTCCCAGTCCCCGGGGCGTCCTCCCGCAGGTGCACCCCCTACCTTCCTCACCTCCCACCCAGAATGACAGCCTCCCCTCAAGCAGCCCAAAGCCCCTGCAGCTGCTGGGGTGAGGGGGAAGCTGTTGGTGGGGATGGGACAGACCTCCCCAGGAGCCGTGGGGCAGGTGGAGGCCCCACCTGTCCCTCGCTTCCCCGCTGGCCCCGCGCAGAGCTGCCCCGCAGGCACCAGGGACTTCCGGGCCCAGCAGTGTTCCCAGTTCGATGGCCAGGACTTCCAGGGAAGGCGGTACAAGTGGCTGCCCTACTATGGAGGTGAGTGGAGGTCCCAGCTCCCGCAGCCCTGCTGCCGCACCCTGCCTTGTCCTGTGCTGAGCCCCACCCGTTCCGGATCTCTTCTGTACGTTGACTTTCCATTGCACAACGCTTACACCGTATTATAGATGCTCTGTCAAATGCATTTTAAAAACTCGCAGGACTCCCAGCAGGAGCTCATCGCAATACAACCGGGGGGTGGTCATTTTGAGGTCTCTCCATCCTTTTTGCCCTCTATACATTCTCAAACAAAGCCACCAGGCCATGTCTGGGCCATTTTGAGCCCTGCTCTTTTGGCCTGCTCCGGAAGCATTCCTCATGGTGCACAGAGGTCCTCATGATGTGCAGAGGCCATGGGGAGGAGGGGCGCTGGTGGGGCCAGGCCAAGTTTGGGCCAACTGCAGGTTGGGGCTGCAAGGGGCTTGGTATGGCAAGAGTCCATTTACTCAGGATCTCTGGGGCCCAGGGGCTTGCTCTGAGTGGCTTTGAGGAGGGTGGTTAATTTTTAGAGCAATTTAGTTCAAGAAAAAAACACTTGCGTATAACTAAAGCATTTTAGATGAGTCAGAAGATTCCTTAGGCTACCCCTTCTGAGTATCAGTAGTCACTGCTCATTGCAAATGACTCCTGGATAGTATGGTGCTCTGGCTTCCAAATCAATGAACATTTATATCCTGTGTGTGCTATTGGATGGGGAACACGGTCTTGGCTAGAGGGGTGACCCCAGGGCAGTCTGTTGGCATTCATTGCTCCTCCTGGATAATTTAAATATATCCATATATTTTTAAAAAGATTTATTTATTTGAGAGAGAGAGTGCGCACGCTTGTGTGCGGGCAGGGGCAGAGGGAGAGAGAGAATCCCAAGCAGACTCCACGCCCAGTGTCCTAAATATATCCATATAGAAAAACCACAACACAGAGGAAAGGGTCACAGAGGGATGCCTTCTCTGTGGTGGAGGTGACCGCACTCCTATTAGCACTTTTGGCTTTTTAAACAATGTGTATATAATATTTAGATGGCTATAAAAATTTAAACCCCTAAATGACCTTGACCCCACACCTTTCATAGGATTTGGTCTAGCATTCCAGTCTAGCCCTTTTCACATTATTTTCTCTCTATCTAACACGTATTTGTAATTATTCTGTAGCCCCATTCTGCATTGTGTGGGAGAAGCGTCTCCCCATGTTACGTATAGTCCCTGTACTTTACAGCATAGCCCACATGCATAGTGGTCTGTTAATAATTGACTCAGAGGAGCTGATCGTTAACACACAGCCTTATTTATAAGGCTGGACAGACCTCTCCAAGGGGCTAGCTTTTTCCTTATCCTGGGATTTTTCATCCACTTGATCCCCAGAGAGGCCGCAGTTTTGTGAATAGTTGCTTCCCGTGGGGGTTGGGGTGGGATTCTGAGCCACCTGGGAGAGCCGATGCAAGGACTTTCTCTCCCCGCTCGCCCCCCATTTTTGTGCTTCTGGCCCCCGCCCATGCTTCATTGTGCCCAGGATATGACTTGCAGCTTGCTTGGGATCTCAGCTTTCCCCTTTGTCTGCCTCAGCCCCGAACAAGTGTGAACTGAACTGCATTCCCAAGGGGGAGAACTTCTACTTCAAGCACAGGGAGGCTGTCGTGGACGGGACGCCCTGTGAGCCTGGCACCCGGGACGTCTGTGTGGATGGCAGCTGCCGGGTGAGTGGTGATCCTGCCCCCGCCCCCCGCCCCTCTGGGGGCTGGCCTGGGGCTTATTGCCGGATGTTTCCCTGCCCTGCACCAGCATGGCCAATGGCTCTCCTGAGCTTGATGTCTTCTCATGACCAGCTTTTAGGTGTCTTTGCATCACAGATGCCCTGTGACCTTCTTCCCTTCGCCCTTTGGAAACTGGCGCCACTGTAGGAGTGATCCTCTGGGTGGCAAGTGACAGAAACGCCACTAAAACTGACAAAGGGGAAGAAAGCCATCGAGGGGTGGGCTGGCTGGCTGCAAGGGGCTGGAAATGTCTCCTCGCCTCTGGGCTTTACTCTCCTCTGGGTCAGCACTGGGATCCTGGGAGGCGTGCAGATGGCCACCAGCAGCTCCCAGCTCTGGCTGGAAAGGGCACCCACTTCCCAGGAGTCCCAGCGACCCGGGGTTGCCTCGGCTTTGTTTCGGCTGGGGGTTTCCCGTGAACCACTCTCTTGGAGCAGAGCATGGAACCCACTGACTTGCCCACGCTCTGTCCAAACAGAGGAGGCCCCCAAAGGAAGATGAGGCATTGTTGGCAGAGAAGGGGAGACGGGGGCTGAGCCGGCGGAAGATGTAGACTGTCCGCCACAGGCCAGATAGAGGGTTCACCGGCCTCAGTGGCTGATGAATAGCTACTGCCCCTCCCTGATTGGAGCGGCGACCCGGGTTCGAATCCTGGTGCGTTTGTGATGCCCTCTGCTGTCTTTCTTCTCCTCATCTCTGCCCGGTAGGTCGTCGGCTGTGACCACAGCCTTGACTCCTCAAAGGAGGAGGACAAGTGTCTGCAGTGTGGGGGTGACGGCACGACCTGCTACCCTGTCATGGGCACCTTTGATGCCAATGACCTCAGCAGAGGTGGGAGTCCTGGGGGGAGTCCGGGCAGCTGAGGGGAGGGTCTGTCACCTGTCCCTTCCTTGCCTGACTTCTGTTCCAGCTGAGTCACCCTGGTGGCCCTGAGGGGGTCTGATCTGGCACTCAGGTCACAGAGCCTGTCGGCTTGGGCTCGTAAGGACCTCTGCCCACTTATCTGGTGTAAGCGCACCCTGCTGCCGGCTGGATGCCCCTCCTCGCCCCTTCCCGCGGGTCCCCAGCTGTCCCCCCACTTCCCAGTCAGTTCAGCTGCCCCAGCCTGCCCACCCTTCCTAAAGCTGCTTCCCCCCTTCTGGAGGACTCTGCCCCGAGCCCCCGAGTGGCACAGCCCTGCCGGGTCCCGCTTGCCGGTCCCTGAGCCCGGCTGTGCTGCCAGGGGCGTGGGTGGTCCCAGAGCGTCTCTGCCCCCGCAGGCTACAACCAGATCCTCATAATTCCCACGGGGGCCACCAGCATCCGCGTGGAGGAGGCGGCGGCCAGCAGGAATTTCCTGGGTGAGTGCGGTCTGGGGCGAGTCTGGGCCGTGGCCGGGCGGCAGGTCCCTCCGCCGCAGCTCACCCGGCGCCTCACCCCTGCGCAGCGGTGAAGAGCGTGCGCGGCGAATACTACCTCAACGGGCACTGGACCATCGGGGGCGCCTGGGCCCTGCCCGCGGCCAGCACCGTCCTGCACTACGAGCGCGGGGCCGAGGGGGACCTGGCGCCCGAGCGGCTCCTCGCTCGCGGCCCCACC